CATAATTACATCGTAACACATGAAAAAAAATAACAGAAAGAAAGTTTTTCATGATCATAAGAGTTTGTCGGATAAATTGATTTATCGGTCATTACATAGAATTCTTAATACATATTTTACTTTTCTCTCCAAAAAAAAATCTATTCAATGATTTTCGTAATCGTGAAAATATATACATACATGCTTTCTGGATCCTTTAGGATAATTAGCAGTATAAATCAAATTACATTGAAACGTATATAATAATGCTATTCCACTAACAATTACAGTAGTGCTTCCAAGTATCAGATATGGTAAAGCAGATTTTGCAATCTGACTAACTGGCTTCTTGGAAAAGTAACTGCTCATTTTTTTTTTTGGTAAGAAAATTGGAACCAGGAAGTATGTATTACAATTTTCGTATTACGTATATCAATGTACACTAAAAGACATTGTAACCAAAAATTACCGAACTTTAGTGAAGATCTATATTTTTTTATTACATACGTATGACGATAGAGATATGCATTAATTCTGTAATTATTGACTTGAAAAAGCTAGACATATTAATGATTGTAATAATTAATATTTTTTAAGCATCGAAAATCATTGTACGTATTCGACGGAATCACAAAAAGTTAAATAGAATTCTTATATGGTGTTCCAAATCGAAAATCGATTAATTAATGATAATTTTATTAGACAACTAATCGATTGTCGACGATTAATCGACTAGTTAGTTAATCGATTAGTTAGTTAATCGATTAGTTGACTAATCGACTAGTTGTTTTATACATTGATCTTGAGATTATAAAAAATGTGAAATTTGCAGATCTAAAAAAAAAGAAATCGATGATTTCTGATTGCCGATTTCTTTAACATTACTTCTGATGACGTACGTATATAAACTAATAAAGTTTTAAAAAAATTCATTTCAAATGGCTAAAAAATATTATCCCTGGAACATGCACAAAGTGTCTTTTTGGAAATTTATTGTAATGAAAAATATATTTATATATTCCAATAAAAAAAGTTATACTAGCAATATCATGTAATAATTCATGTAATAATTCATGTAATAGTAAATTTTACCGGGCTAGAAATGAACCAAAATTTAATATTACACAATCAAGTTCTTTACAACATGAATATATTCCTACAAAAGATGCTAAATCAAATATGTTACAAAATCATGAATATACAACTTTTATTTCTGCAAAAAATGTTAAGAAATCGGCAATCAGAATCAGATTACTTTTTTTTTTTTTGATCTGCAAATTTTTTTGCAAACCGCAATAATGCCTACGCAATTATATCCAAGCCATTTCGATATGCCAACTAGTCAATTAGTCAATTAATCGATTAATTGACCAATCGATTAATCGATTAGTTGGCTATAATCAAATTTTAAAATAATTTTTTGGCCGACTAATCGATTGCATTTTTTGGTACGATTTGTAACATAGTGTAAACAGCCTAACTCTAACGCTAAGGTTGTCTGTCAAAATAGTATTTACGAAATTATTCCGGTAGCATTTCGATTCATATCGACGTTCCAAAATAATATGATATCTAATGTTGTGTTATAGCTTTTTTTTTAAAGAAAATTTGTCAATATTTTAGGTTCCTGTTTGATGGATTTACCGAAATCTTGGCTCCCGGAAAATGCATCATTAGAACGCTTACATATTTCTCTAATGCTAAACGTTAAGTTAAATTTTTAATGCTGAAATTTTTAACGAATTTAAATGTGTCATGTGATTTCAATCGATTTGTTAAATTTTAGAGAAGCAATTTTTTTTTTTTTTGAAGTCTAATTAAAATCAAATAATTATTACTAGTTAGAATTTTATTTACAATTAATAATTTCACTAATACAGAATTTCTGAAGGTATTAATATAGAAAGCTTTAATTTCAATCTATTTTAATTTAGACACTTTAAAAAAATTTTATTTTAGGTTAAATAATTGCACGAGACCTGGCATCCGTCTTTTAATTTTATCTTTTTAAAAAAAAATTCATATAAATTTTTTTTTTTTTTTAAAAAAAAAAAAAACACCGGTGGATAAGTGTTATAAAACCTTTTTGAACCTAAAATTATTTATTTGGACGCGCAATTCCTTTAATTTTATTGTTAAAAAAAAACCAACCAATACTATTTGTTTGATGACGATGGAATAAGATTAGATGAATTGAAACAAATTATAATTGACAGTTAGATGGTTAAGAAATAAGCTTAATATTGATTAAAAGGTTATGAATGTAATAACTTTATTAAATTTTAGAATACTATTATAAAAATATTACGTATCTAATTTTGCAATTGTAAATTATGTATCGTGTATGTATCACTATCACGTTATACAGATGACCCTCGTTAATATCAACCTATTTGAAACAGATAGTTATGTTGATATGTAGGGTTGATATTGGATACATAAATTTATATCGATATAGTTTTAGGTTGATATTAACGAGGATCATCTGTGTTACATAGTTTTAAATGAAAATTTTATTAAATAGTATATATTACAAAATAAACAAATTCACAAACAAAGATCCTAAAACATCATGGTTTTTTGTACAAATCCAAATCCCATGTAGTAAAGCCACGGGTCAGTGCTAACAATATTTAAACAACAATCTTTAGAGTTGCATCGATCGTTAGTTGTACAAAGTACTAAGTAGTAAATTGATTGAATATATATCGTGGCCGTGATCGTCGTGTGGTCGTGGGAATAAAGTCATAATATACTACATAAAATTTCAATAACATTCATTACGTTAGTATAACATCAAATGAAAATAAACGACTTTTAATATTTAAATAATTGTGAACGGAATTTATATGGATTTAGAACTTCTTAATGCTTAGAACTTAGTGGCAAAGGTATTTTATATGAATTTATACTGACTCTAATTAAACATTACAGTTCCATTCTCAATTACAACAGATACTAACATATTTCTCCAAAAATATAATCTGCATTGCACAAAGGAATATTAGGTAGATTTGTAATGAATTCAACAGGTTCAGTAAGTGATTTCTCGAGTTCAATTAAAATCTCATCTATTGTTGGGCGAAGATTTGGTTCAGAAGACCAGCAATTCTTGTAAAGATTTGCGTAATATAAGGGTGTATTTTCGACAGTTTTCTCCCTTCCATTAGATAAAAGTTCTTTAAAAATTGTAAAATCATTATGTTCATTAAATGGAGGAACTCCACTCGTAAGTTCCCAAAATAATACGCCAAGACTATAAATATCTGATTTTTGGTCGCGTTTAACACACGTTTTATTTTGAAGATAGCATTGTGGTTCGAGATATGCAAGCAAACCTCCCGAAATCGAATCTGAAGCTGTATTATCATTTAATTGTTTTGAGATTCCAAAGTCTGTAATTAAGGCTTTATCATCATTTATCAAAATATTCTTCGAATGCTAAAACAAAAAAAATGCTTTATATTTAATTAAGATTCTACTAATTAAGCAGAATCAGATTATTTTTTTAAAAACTTACTAAATCCCGATGAATAATTTTTTTATCGTGTAAATATTTCAACCCAACAGTGATATCTTTCGCAATCTTGATGAGTTCAGTCCATGAAATTTTATAGATACCATCTTGTCGTTTATTTTGTAAATATTCGCGTAGGTTACCATTATTGGCAAGCTGCAACACTAACATAAAGTTTTCTGTTGGACCTGATGTTTATTAAATATATACAGTATTTAGTATTATGATTTGACAATTTGCAAATTTTGTGGTTCGTTTTAAATCGCGACATATATCGTCACATCAGTTTCGTGTAACATTCAGACGTATATCACGGTCAATAAAATCGCGATCTCATTGGCCAAAAAATTGAAAATCATTCCTCTAAATGACATATGAGTCATAATTTTTGCAATTACGTATACCTTTTGAAACTCCCCAGAATTTTATAATATTGGGATGACTGACTGTATAAAGGAGTTTAAGCTATTTGTGATTTAGTACATACGGATCTTAAGATTCAAAATATATGAATAATAAGTATATTACCTCACGATTGAATTTTTTGAACTCTTCATGAGTAAAATCCAGATTATTATTTAAACTTTTTAGTGCATATTCATTTCCTTCTAAAATCGCCGAATATACAACAGCATAACCTCCTTGTCCAATGCGTTTAAGTTTTATATCATGAGAATAGTCAAAAAATTTTATATTATTTTTTTCAAAGTCCTTCATTAATTGTTCCGAATAGTCAATCACTAAATAAATTTTTATGATATATTAACATGATATAAATTATGAATTTGAATTTTTAATAACGTAATAACTCACATGCTTTCTTTGACATGGCTTCGGATTAATGACTATAGGAAGACTATAGGTGTAAAATTGATTTTCTTGATTTTTTCTTCAAAGTAATTAGTATATGTATTATTTTTTTAGATTTGAAGAGCAGAGGTTCAAGGTTATCTGGAAAGAACTGAAATTTGGTTTGGAGCGAAATTTTTAACGTGTAAAAAAAATGCAATGCTATTTTATTGAACTCACGGACCAATGGAAACATATTAATGTAATTTGTACTAGGTCATTCTGCGCATTTTTCCGAATATTTACGAGTCCGCAGTTAGATATTGGCCATGTTTATATTGTTTATCAACCTTATTTGTTTATTTATCGGATGATTGCGGATATCTGTCTATGAATTATCCGACCAAATCCGTTGAATTAATCAAAATACGTACAGTCAATTCGATACACCATATAGCGTAAAATAAAAAATTTTACTACGTATAAGAATTACTATAAAGAGAGCTAACCGTAATCCGAATGTATATTTTATTAATGCTACCAATTTAAAAAATGCCAACGAATGCAGTATTTTTATAAAAACACTACAAGGAAATAATTCTTTGAACCTTTTTTTTTTTAATTGATTATCATCGAGTGTAGTAGCAATATTATTATTCAGGCAACTCATAGAAGTTACACTTTGGGTTTCACTTGACAATAAATAATCTTCATTGTCCATTATTATAAATAAGATGAAAAATAAAATTCTTTACGATCAAGATAAATACGTATTTATGAATAAAAAAATAAAAAAAAAGTATGTAACGAAAATATGGCATTTAATTATATGTCACTATTCATTGCTATCGGTCGAAGTACCGGATAGTCAAATAGATACCCGACTATCTGCAAACTGCAAATATTTATCCAACAGAAAATTGTCTTATGTTAAATCAAACTCCCCTGCATCAAATAACATCGGTAGCGCTGACCGGAATAGCTGCAATAATCACTGTAGGCACGGAAAATAACATAAAAATTGCAAAATTCTGGGCACCCTAGTGCATAGCAATGGAGAAATTTTCTATTTGTAAATATGTGTCAACTAAGGTGCCCAGACTTATGTGATTCGGGAATTGTCATTGAAAATTTTCTGAAATTGCATAAGTCGGCATACTCTAATGTCAACGATTGATGCAAAACTTGGTATTGTGTTTAGAATATTGCATTGGCAAGCATGGAAATGGTTATTTCTGGGAAACCTAGCATAAGCCCTTGAATTAGTACTTTAAGGTTCGAGTTTATGTAAATTTCATTTCTCATTATATTTTTTTAATTAATACTATGAGACAAATTTTTTTTTTTTTTTTTTTTGTACACATATTTGGGCTAATCCGAAATAAAATAAAGTTTACATTCAATGATTGGCTATTTCTTTTTTTGGATTGTATAATAAGCATTTTCTCACGTACATACATACATTCGCATATGCATATTTGAAATACGTAACGGGAACAATCATCAGAACACTTGATTGTGGTAACTATTATAGATAGAAATGAGAAATGAGAAAAGTGTCGGAAATAATCTGCAAAAAACCTTCAAAGCCGATTAAAGCTATAATATGGTGTGGAAAGGTCATAGGAGGATATGTCTGATTTGCCCAACTAGCTAACTTATAAAGTATTTTTGAATGTAATGTTATACAGTCAACTCCCTCTAAGTGCAACTCATCAGAACCGATAGATTGCCTTGCATATAGAGAGAAGTTGCATTTAGAGAAAAATATTCAAAATCGACAATTTTAGCACGTGATACATATTTATGCTTATGATTGGTCAATTTTGGTATATATAGCAAATCAATATACCTTGATTAAATATCCGATATTGATATTAATATAATGTACATATATGTACATACGTATATATGTACATACATATGTACGTATATATATAGCTACTAAATATAAAATCGGTATTACAAATAGTAGTAGAGTTATGCTACAAAAATTGCATATGACTTCAGGCTTTTAAACTATCAAATAAACTCTAAATATCAAATTTTATAAAAATTGGACCCGATATTATAAGTTTAAAAGGCATAAATTTTGTATATATTTGCATACTATCATGATATATTAATGGAGAAATTTCAAATAAGGGCCTAAAACTACAAATAAGGGCCCAAAATAAAAATAATTACAAATAGAGGCCCGATTTTTTAAAATTATTACAAAGAAAATTTTGCGCTCAAATACTCATAGGCAGACATTCGTATGATTGGCTATTTAAATCAATTTAATTTTACATTATATTTACAGTTTAAAGTACTTTTTTAAAAAAAGAAGACTACTACGAATAAACAAAGAAGAATAAACAAAAAAGAAGTTTTATTAGGGTTGTAGGACTCCACTATTAAAAATAATCAAAATTCTTTTTTGTTTTAGAGAAGTTAGCATGGT